AGAAAAAAAGAATAGCATTTTTAATTTGTTTGTATGGGAGTTTGCAACATCAGTTTAGAATAAGGAAACACACAAAGCAATGTGTAATGAAATTAAGAATCAGTTTTATCAATTACAATCATCTGATCCTTGTCAAGGCAAACTGGATGTGGACACTGCAATGTTGATACAAAGATTGAAGATTGGTATGTCTATATTGTTTTTATTTTATCACATGAAAAATTGTATGAATACACAATGCCATTTAGAAAGTGGTCAAATGTAACGGACGGGACTCAACCCCCCCAAAATACGAGAATCTGTACTTAACTAAGAAAGTGTTATCCCAAATATAACATTTGTTAGAAAAATTGTTGTTGATATATGTACCCTTGAATATGTATTTAAACTAATATATACATAAGGCTCTTATGTGTCTGAAAAAAAGAAAAAGAATTTCTAATGTTAAAATTTTAAAAATGCCATAATAATAGCTATTGTTTATTTATTATCCCCCGCCCCAATGAAGTTGGCGGGGGAGATAGAAATGGGTTCCGTCCGTGTGTGTGTGTGCGTGTGCATGTGTGTGTGTGTGTGTGCGTGTGCGTGTGTGTGTGCAACAAGTTGGACTTAGGTTCTATGAGGGTGCTGTTCGTTTCTGGAGCGTAACTCAAAAACCGTTAAATACTTTCTTACAAAACTTTCCATGTTTACCAGACACATACTGAACTGGTGCCTTTTGCTATTTAGGAGTTTTATAAATTTTTATGTTTTACGTTTCCATGGCAACAAGTTGGACTTAGGTTCTATTATAGGGTGGGTTCACTTATGGAGTATAACAAATAAACTGTTAAATATTTCCTTGCAAAACATTGCATGTCTATATATAAAGCACATACTGAACTGGTGCCATTTGATATTAAGGAGTTTTAGAAATGTATATTTGAGAATTTCCATTACAGCTATTTTGACAGGGGCTAAGAGAAATGTTGGGTCAGTTACCTGGTTTGGGACCATAACGTGTTAAAATGGGCGGGGGATATAGATGACTTTGTCGACTATACGCTTGTTTATCATTGAAATGATGTAATCAGTTGTATTTAGCAACAAACAACCACAATTTGTCTATATACACCATGCACTAATTAACACTTACAAATATCAAAATGGATTTCAGTGACTTGAAATCCATTTCTTGTATTTTCAACATTGTATTATGATATGAAGCTGAGGACGTAATTTGCACGTGCCTGTTTCTTTTACAATTTCTTCAAATATTTTGTTCAGCTCTCTCAGTTTTACCTGATAAATAGTAATATTTGTGTTGCTGTCAAAATTCACAACACATACTGACGACCTTGACGTACTGCTTCGCCTAGCCGCTGTACTGAAATGCATGCATATAGCCTCATTGGTGATAATACAACATAGATATGGGTATGTATACAATGAAAATATACTTCATTTTTAAAAGTTTGATATTCAAACATCAAGGGCAACACTATGTACCGATCGCAAAACGTCAACCAAGTGACCTGGAATGAACGATTAGCTCTCTTCGAATGGCTGTCAAGTGCTTTACTATTACAATATAAGCAGTCATGGTTATCCATGCTGTATCATTGAATCACGGAACATATATTTCAGGATTTGACAACATATAGAACATTGTTTAGGTGAACAGATAATATATTGTCACTGCTCCAGCGTAAACGCTGCTGATAGAGGTGAAGGCTATGCTGGTTAACTCTGTAGGTGAGATAGTAACACGTATCGTGCGTAGTTTAGGTTGGACCGGCGGGGTCAGCGCAAGTAGCGGGTTAGTAAAGGGAAGATAGATTGACAAAGATCGCCCATTGCATCACTATACTTTGCAGACCATTGTGACATCACAGGTTACCATGGCGTCACAATCTAATGACATCACTGAAGCCAGAAAGCTGTGCTTGCTGCACTCAACACATGCTGAAGGATTTCACAAAGGTTATTAACACTTAAGACTTGCATCACTGAGGGTTTCCTCCACATCAACCTGATACACTGTGATATCCCCGTATTTGACATAATAAGCACCCCGGCACTCTCAAAATTAGAAATAGGGGTTCTTATTAGAATATTATTTTGGATGGAAAAAAAAGAGTTGAAAGATCGTAAATTTCGTGGTATATGCAGACAGCCTGAAATGTTTATAAACGACAGATATATTTTTCCAGAATATAATTGCCCATAATTAAGGGTGCATATAATACATGGGTGCGTATTATACACGAATAAATAAGTCTTGTGTACATTGATCAGTCTGAAGGTGTGCTAATTGGGATTGTTCACTAGCCAATATATTAGCTAATATCGTCGTGGGCGCTTATTAGAGCGGGATGCTTATTACGTCGAATACGGTATCTGTAATACAAAGAGGCTTTAAACACTCACTCACTCTGTTAGAACTTTGATATGCTTGTAGACTTAACTGAAGTGGTATACGGCTATGACCTTCATCACTTTTAGTTTATGAGCCATATTAAGCTGACCTATTGTGATCTGTCTTTTGAAAATATATTTCATCTGAAAATGATCATGCTTTTGGGATGAGTCCAGGACTTGCTCACTTTAAGATACAAGGCACATGTGATTAAAATTGTTTCAACAAAACCTCTCTGAGTGAAACAGACTTTTTAAGATTGCTTAAACGAACCAAATGATTGTACAGACAAGCAACATGTGCTCTACCACTCTGTGGGAACCAACCTGGCTTGATGTCAAATGCTGGTAGTTGTGCTTGATAAGCAGCTAACCTTGTTATTGTTAATGTAAGACTTTGTAAAGGATGATCTTCATGTGGCCCATGGTTGCAGAAGAGTAATGTAGAAGGATGTAAGTAAATTGAATTAAAATTAAAGTATGAGTTAGTATAGTATACTTTCCAATTTTAAACTGCCCAAGTGCTCTTCCTGTTTTTGTTTTTTTATGGTTTTCTTAGAAAATACAAATTGAAAAATTTCTTAGAAAATTGAGGAATCCATGTTGTTCCCGGTACAAGTTTCAGACAAACAATGAAGATGGCCCGTGACAATTAGCCAAACATTTACATGCCTGTACAAGATGACCAACTTAACCCTTGGGCTCTGTTGCACCAGGGGGCATGGGTGGCCCATTCGTCTAAGGCGCCGCGATTCGCTGTTCAGAGTTGCGTCTCTTGGGCACGCCAGAAACCTATGATTGTGGGTTCGAATCCCGGTTCGCCCCGATTATGTTTCTAGGTTTGTCAGCTCCATACCCGTGCTCGTGGGTTTCACCGAAGTGGTAAACGTCTGAGACATGCAACACTTCGGGCATTCCTCCCACATTAAGCTGACACGCCGTGATATGACTGGAATACTGTTAAAAGCGGCGTTAAGCCCAACTCACTCTCACTGTTGCACCAAAAACTGTTTTGATCAATAGATAAATCAGTTCCGTACACATGTGCAGCATTATTCTCAGCAAATTATGATAATTTGTAGCAATCCTAGAGAGCCATTACTGAATGTTAATAATAAATGGAGTGTAAAATTCATAGTGCTCATGATTACATGAGCTGAGGGAAAGTTTCGACCTGTATCTGACCGTGTCCGTGGTTTAGTGGATAGAGTGCCTGCCTGGAAAGTGGAAGAATGGTGGTTCGACAATGTCATACCATAAGACCTTAAAATTACCCTTGTTATTACCCTATATTACCCTCAATTTTAGCAGCTCTTAAATAATCAAGTCTGGACCAGATAAAACCAGTGATTCATATTTTGTGCATCATCCCATGACATTAGGGTCCGATGCCACACAGTCAGCCAAGTCAGTGAATCTGACCACCCGGCTTCTGAGACAAGTACTAATTCTTACCCTGGAATCAACACATACATCGTAAACTGTACAAGATTATCAACAGGATCTACCTTGTGGAAAGAATGAACCTCAATTTACCGATATACCAGTAATACCTCACACAGTAATGCAGGATAAGTATACAAATATATAAAATATCAAGATTATACTAGTTGTATCTACGGGCAAAGTTACTACTCTTTTTTTCCTGATATATTATTATTAAGATTTTTGTATGAAACCAGACATTTTTATTATATTTATTCCGGTTGGAGATTGGATGGATTTAACAGATTTAAAGCTTTTGAGTGGGGCAGTAAATTGGGACTGTTGTGAAATGAGGAACAAACAAAATAGTGTGTAACAGAGACGACCTTAGTTTGTGTTAAAATGGCATGTAAGAGTCCAAGTCGAGATCATTCACAGCAGTTGTATGTATCTTCCATCATCGGGCCAGTTAAGCTGACAGACTGAAGTCTGTCAGAGTGTCTCATCACGGGTGCTCTGATAGAAAGCATGGAAACTGAGATGAGGACAGTCCAGAATAACAGAATGGTTGAGCATGTAGCAGGAAGTGAGTCCTCCTCCAGTCTACAGCAGCAGGAAGACCTTCAAGTCCAGACTGACTGGATCGTGTATTGTTTATTTCAAGACGTATTGCCCTCGTAGGACAACTAGACCTTGCCAGAACTCCACGTTCCGAAGAAACTTGACCCTTCAACATCTAGACATGATAGTCATCATTGATCATGACAACATGCAACTGTCTTTGATTGGGATGGCTTTGTGGAGTTTTGTTATGAAGCAGCCTAAAGCAGATTAATGGCAGGAATATTCCTTTTAGCAGCTTAACATCATACTCAGCCACACACTGTAGTAGGGCGACAGCTCTCATTTATTTTTGATTCTCCCATTTATTTTTAATTCTTGCCAGGTGTTCTGTTTTGTATTTCAATTTTTATTGTCCATTATTATGATGTTCAATGTGTAGTGTTTATTATGAATATGTTACAGAATTATGGGATTGAGCCCCCCCATCTGTCTGTCTGTCTGTCTCTCTCTCTCTGTGTGTGTGTGTGTCTCTCTCTCTCTCTCTCTCTCTCTCTCTCTCTCTCTAAGGACATGTATTGTCTTGCAGTAAGTCAGTATCCTGATTCCTATTTCAGAGTGTGACCCCCTTGGTTCGCCAGTACAACATCAAGGTGGAGGGATGACTGACCCAAATAAACATCTATCTTCTGTGAAGAGGAAAGATGAAAAGCAACAGGCACAGTAGGTTTACCCATTTTTTGTCAGTCTAGAATTTTATTCAAAGGTTTTTGTGAGAAACTACTTGTCTTAAACTACCTGTCTCACACTTCGTCTAGGAGTGGGTTGGCCTTACGGTTTTAGAGCCCATTCTACATGCCAAGGCCTGAGTTCTGTTCTCATCATGGGTACAATATGTGAAGCCCATTCTTCTTGTTCGACACCGTCATATGGCTGGAAATTTCCTAAAAGTGGTGCAAAAACCTGACTCATGTGGATTTAGGCTTCAGAATATTGTTTGCTCTTGGGACTCTCAGACATTCCAGCATTAAAGAAATCTACTTTGAAGACAATAATATCTCATATCTAACACTCAGGAAACAGACTGCACACATACTCCGAATTTATTGTTTTATAAGAAAAGAAATGTTGTTGCTTTTTCAGCCTGAGGACTTTCATTTTGTCATGTCACTTTTATTGTGTTTTATCTCTTTCTTCATGTTCTTTTTAATTTCTTTACTCCCAATGTATTAATGTTATTTATCATCCCAAACTGGCTCCCACAGGAGATATGGCTTGGATGAGATCAAGCAATATCTACACTGTAGATATCGCTGCAATGAAATTACATCACAATGCTTTGCAGAACATTGTTACATCACTGGTTACCATGACGTCACAATCAAATGACATCACTAATGGCTCTGCTACTGAAGCTGTGTTTTTACACTGAAGACACTGCTAATTATTGTCTACAAATTGAAAAAGTTGGAAGAATGATGTTGGATGATAAATAAAATCTCACCCTCCCATCTTTTGATATCAAATATATCAACACTCGTTGATACAAGTTGCAAAAATCCTTGGCAAGCCTCAGAATTTTTCCACTTTTATCAACTCGTGTTGATATATTTGATTTCAAAAGACACTCGGGTGAGATTCTCTATTTATCATCCAAAACTGGCTCCAACAGGAGATATGCTTGGGTGAGATCAAGCGATATCTACATTGTAGATATTGCTGCATTAAAATTGCATCACAATACTTTGCAGACCATTGTGACATCATTGGTTACTACCGGTATGATGTCACAATCAAATGACATCACTAATGGCGCTGCTACTGAAGCTGTTAGCAGTACTTTTACACTTAAAACACTGCTTATTGCTGTCTACAAACTGAAAAAGTTGGAAGAATGATGTTGGATGAAAAATAAAATCTCGTCCTCAATATACCAACACACGTTCATAAAAAAGTGGAAAAAAAATCATATTTGATATCAAAAGACACGCGGGTGAGATTCTCTATTTAATATATACTTAATGTGTCCAATACGTACTTGAGTATATAACCTGGGCTACTGGTTTCAAATAAATTAAAAAGTGCTATCGAAAGCTACATCGTCCTGCTTCAGGTGAAGTCTTGGCTGGAGTGAACAGAAGCTTACAAACTTTGTCTTACAGTCAATGCAAATACTCATTTTGCAATGTAAGATTACTGGATATGATTATTTGCAATATTACCTTATTCGAGGTAATAAGCGCCCAGGGTGCTCTCAAAATTAGAAATAGGGGGCTCTTATTAGGACATAATTTTGGTGAGAAAAATTTGAGTTGAAAGATTGTTAATTTTGTGGTTTATGCTGACAGCCTGAAATGATATAAAAGAAGAATCTGTGTGTATTATACACGATAGATATATTTTCGAGAATTTAATTGCCCATTATTAAGGGTGCATATTACACACGAGTGTGTATTATACACAAATAAATAAGTCTTGTGTACATTGATCAGTTAGCAGCTCTAATAAGTGCCCATGGCGATATTTGCTAATATATTGGCCAGTGAACAATCCCAATTAGCACTCCTTCCGATTGATCAATGTACACAAGACTAATTTTTTCGCGTATAATACCCACTCTTGTGTTATATGCATTCTTTATTACGGGCAATTAAGTTCTGGAAAAATGTATCTGTTGCATATAAACATTTCAGTGTGTCAGCATAAACCACAAAAGTTATCTTTAAACTCTCTTTTTTCCACCAAAATAATATTCTAAAAAGAGCCCCCTATTTCTAATTGTAAGAGCGCCCTGGGCGCTTATTACGTTGAATACAGTAAATGGTGTTCAAGATGTTACAACTTTGCCATGGCAAGGGAAATTGGCGTTGATTATTTGAGGAGTTACAAAAATATTTAATTTTAATTTTTAGTGAAGCTGAAAATACATCAGTTCCTTGGCAGCACCTGGAATAATACTATTTATCTTTATCAGACAATGAGTAGTACATGTTAGGTTGGTAAACTCAACCTTGTGTGATGATGGACCAGTCAGCTGATGACCAAAACTGAATTCTTGAAGTGAGTGAATTAGTGTGTGAGTTGGGTCTAATGTTGCTTTTAACAGTAATCAAGTTATGTTGCAGCGTCTCACTTAATGTAGGCGGAAAGCTTAAGGGATGCAGGTCTCCGATGTTTACCACATTGGAGAAACACACGACCATTGTGCTGACAAACCAAGAAACATAAGCGGGTTCAACTGGGATTCAAACCCACAATCATAGGTTTCTGACATGACCAAGTGAGGCAACTCTTCACACCAAATTGCAGTGCCTTGGAAGACTGGGCCATTCTTGAGTGAGTGAGTGAGTTGGGTTTAACACCGCTTTTAACAGTATTCCAGTTATATCGTGGTGTGTGGGAGGAAAGCCCGAAGTGATGCAGGTCTCAGACGTTTACCACTTCGGTGAAACCCACAAGCACGGGTATGGTGCTGATAAACCTAGAAACATAATCGGGGCGAACCGGGATTCGAACCCACAATCATAGGTTTCTGGCGTGCCCAAGGGACGAAACTCTGCACAGCGAATCGCGGCGCCTTAGATGAGTAGGCCACCCGTGCCCCCAGGGCCATTCTTGAAGTAACACTGCAGAAATTACTTACACATTGTATGCTGTGATTTGCTGTATGATCTTATTGTGAGAATAGGCATTGCTATGTCATTATGTAACGTCCAATACATAGTGTGGTCACAAATTCAGTGGGGTGCCCATCTGATGTGTTCATTTGGGCCTGGAGCCTTCACTCTTTCAACATGGGACGTGACAATTCAACAATTTGTGTATTATTGAAATCAGAATTGAAATACTGAAAGCTTCAAAGATAATGTTGTTAAGAATTCATAGAGATAGATCAATTGACAAAGATTTCATTTGCCAGATTGTCTACATGATGCCCTGTGTGGGGATTCTGGTGTTGTGAGGTGAAATGGGGTTTGACGTCATGTTTAAGTTTATTGCACTTATGTAGTGCAGGTGTGTATGTGTGTGGCTGCTCGTACTTGTCCGGACTAATGCCAGTTGTATAGTGCTAGCCCTACTGAGAAACCATGTCGCAGTTTAACATGGATGCTCCACTCAGATATAATATACTGTCTCCTTGTTTTATCTCCTTTTATGATGCCAAGTGCCAGGCAGGGTAACAGTAAGTGTCACATTCTAACGTCTTTTGGTATGAGGGGTCTGGTGATTGAACCAGCATTCTCTGTTGATCGTCAATCATGAGTTAGAATACATTTGATCTCTTAACGTTTTTTTGGTATGATGTGGCCAGGATCGAACCAACAACCATCAGCTCCCTGGGCAGACATTTTATCCACTTGTCCACAGAGTTGGTTGGGGGTAGAAATGGTCCCCAGTAGTACTGTATAGCAGAAGGTCCGGAGTTCGAACCCTGGCCGTATCATACCAAAAGACGTTAGAAGATGGTACTTGTTACCCTGTCTGGCGCTCGGCATTGAGGAGCTAAAACAAGGACTGGTCAACTCGGAGTCGGTATACTGTGTCTGAGTGGGGTATTCATGTTAAACTGCGGCATGGTATCTCAGTGGGCTAGCACTATAAACTGGCATCAGTCCGGACTAGTACAAGCAGCCACACACACATGTGCATGCACATTGCTATGTAAGTGCAATAATCTTGGACGCGACGTTAAAGTACTATTTACTAAAGTACCCTATTTTACCTCATCTCACCTCATCACATGGATTGTTGGGTACTCCAGAAAGAAATGTTGCAATATGTATCATTTGAAAAGCATATTGCAGTACCAACCAAGAGTACCAGCAAACACAACTGGTCACGCATCGAACTTTGCTCTTTAATACAATGTTGGTTGTCAAGCATGCATAACACAGTCTTCATATGATACCCTGATTTCAAAAATATGTATTTTATTGACGATAAGAAGTGAAGCGCCCATGCCCAAGAAACATTTCCTATTTTGTTTTTGGCCTTATGGTAGTGAGAACACCACAAAGCAGGCATGTGTATTCAGGGGTGGTTGAGGAACATAGTATTGTGTGCCAAGCCAGTTTGAAGGAGGGATGATGATGAGGATGATGAAATTGAAACCCATATCCTAAAACTATAATCTCCGTAAAGATTCTGGGGTAGAACAGGTCTTCAGCAACCCATGCTTGCCATAAAATGCGACTATGCTTGTCATAAGAGGCAACTTAAGGGATCGGGCATTCAGGCTCACTGACTTAGTTGATGGATGTAATCGTATTCCAATTGCGTGGATCGATGCTCATGATGTCAATCACTGGATTGTCTGGTCCAGATTTGATTATTTACAGACCGCCGTCATATAGCTGTAATATTGCTGAGTGCGGCATTCAACACCAAACAAACAAACAAACAAACAATTAGGACCTTATAACGGGACATCACCTCCGCAAAGTCAAGCCATGTGAGACCCAGCGACGTTAAAGAATTCCCCTTCTTGGTACCCTGCCTGGCGCTCAGCATAAGGTGATAAAACAAAGAACCATCAGCTATCGGGCTTGCACTAAAACCAAACAGCATTAGTACGGAGTAGTAAAAGCAGCTACACATACATACACCTCACCTCAGTGATCAGGTTGTCTTACCTGGACATTCGATCTGGACTCTTTCACTGGACCGGTTTGTAATCTGTGTCCTAGTGCATCACTTTTGTTATGTACATTACATATATTACA